AGCAAGATTAGTTTGAGTTAAAATTGGCCGCTTAAGCTAATGAACCTATTAGTTGCCCAAACTAATTTGTTTCTAGAACAAAAGAGAGCGCCGTGAGAAGGGCTGAGAGAGTTAGGGTGAAACTTTCTTCCTGGCACTAAAAGAGAAAGTGAGAGAAATGAAAGGGGGAATAAGTCGCAATTTTAAGCAAATTGAAACTCACCCTTTGGATTGAATTGAACACATAGTGATTTAGAAAGAGACAACGATGGAGAAGGGGCGTGAGTTGGAGGGAAAAAAATGAAAGTGAATTGAAATTTATCCTTTGTAAATGAGAATTGGACACTGAGGTGATTTAGGAAGCCTTAAATGAGTTTCTTTAGTGAAACTAATATCGTTAAGTTCAATTACTCACTTGGAAGAGAGCAAGATAGTTTGAGTTAAAATTGGCCACTTCAGCTAAGGAAACTATTAGTTGGCCAAACTAATTAGTTTCTAGAACAAAAGAGAGCGCCATGGAGAAGGGCGGAGAGTTAGGGAGAAACTTCTTCCTGAGCGCTAAAAGAGAAAGTAGAGAAAGAAAAGGGAATAGGGCAAATCCTAGGCGAATTGAAATTCATCCTCTTGGGCTAGAGATTGTACGCATAGGTGATTTAGAAAACATGAAATGGTTCCCTAGTTAAAGTAATATCGTTATGCCACAATTACACGGCAAAATCTGCTCCTTGAAAGCTAACCAAGTTTAGTTTGAGTTGAATTTGGCCACTTAAGCTGATTAAGCTATAATTTAATTGCCTAAGCTAATTAGTTAGTGGATCAGAAGAGAGATGGACGGGGAAGGACAGATAGAGTAAGAGAGAAACTTTCTTCAAAGTGGTAGAAGAGAAAGTCGGGGAAAAAATGGAAAATACGATAAAAATGAAAAGCGATTGAAGACTCATCCTTTAGTAAATGAGAATTGAACACTTAGTTGTTTTAGGAAAACCTTTTTTTTTTTGGTGTGAATAACTTTTTAGGAAACCTTAACATAAGTGAAACCAATATTGTTAAGCCACAATTACTCACTTGGAAGTAGAGCAAGATTAGTTTGTGTTAAAATTGGCCACTTAAGCTAACGAAAACTATTAGTGCCCAACTAACTTAGTTTTCTAGAACAAAAGAAGAGCGCCACAAGGGAACGGCGGGGGAGAGTTAGGGAAAACTTTCATTCCTGAGCGCTAAAGAGAAAGTGAGAGAAAAGAAATGGGGAATAGAGCGAAATTTTAAGCGAATTGAAATTCATCCTTTGGAAATTGAGCATTGAACACATAGGTGATTTGGAAAGAGAGAACGTTGAGAAGGGCAGAGTGGGTTGGAGGGGGAAAAAAATGAAAGCGAATTTGAATTCATCCTTTTGTAAATGAGAATTGGAACGCTTAGGTGATTAGGAAGCCTTAATTGAGTTTCTTAAGTGAAACTAATATCGTTAAGCCACAATTACTCACGTGGAGTAGAGCAAGATTAGTTTGAGTTAAAATTGCCACTTAAGTTAATGAAGCTGTTGGTTGCCCAAGTAATTAGTTTCTAGAACAAAGAAGAGCGCCATGGAGAAGGGCGGAGAGAGTTAGGGAGAAATTTCTTCCTGAGCGCTAAAAGAGAAATGAGAGAAACGAAAAGGGGAATAGGATGAAATTTTAAGCAAATTGAAATTCATCCTTTTGGACTTGAGAATTGTCACATAGGTGATTTAGAAACATGAAATGAGTTCCTTAAGTCAAAGTAATATCGTTATGCTAAAATACTCAGCAAAATCTCCTCGTTGAAAGATAAGCAAGATTAGTTTAGTCGAACTGGACACTTTAGGCCTATTAAACAATATTGCCTAAAGCCAGTTAGTTAGTGGAGCAGAAGAGGGAAGGATGGAGAGACGGACAGAGTTAGAGAAAAGCTTTCTTCTTTGAGTGGTAGAAGAGAAAATTGGAGAAAAGAAAGGGAAATTACGATAAAAATGAAAGCAATTGAAATTCATCCTTCGTAAATGAGAATTGAACACTTAGGTGATTTAGGAAAACCTTAAAAGAGTTTCTTAAGTGAAACTAATATTGTTAAGCTACAATTACTCACTTGGAATTAGAGCAAGATTAGTTTGAGTAAAAATTGGCCGCTTAAGCTAATGAACCTATAGTTGCCCAAACTTAATTGGTTTCTAGAACAAAAGAGAGCGCCGTGGAGAAGGGCTGAGAGAGTTAGGTGAAACTTTCTTCCTGAGCACTGAAGAGAAAATTGGAGAAAAGAAAGGGAAATACGATAAAAATGAAAGCAAATTGAAATTCATCCTTTTTGTAAATGAGAATTGAAACACTTAGGTGATTTAGGAAACCTTAAAAGAGTTTCTTAAGTGAAACTAATATTGTTAAGCTACAATTACTCGCTTGGAATTAAAGCAAGATTAGTTTGAGTTAAAATTGGCCGCTTAAGCTAATGAACCTATTAGTTGCCCAAACTAATTGGTTTTCTAGAAAAAAGAGAGCGCCGTGGAGAAGGGCTGAGAGAGTTAGGGTGAAACTTTCTTTCCTGGGCACTAAAAGAGAAAGTGAGAGAAATGAAAGGGGGAATAAGTCGCAAATTTTAAGCAAATTGAAACTTCACCCTTTTGGAACTGTTGAATTGAACACATAGGTGATTAGAAAGAGACAAACGATGGAGAAGGCGTGGGTGAGTTGGAGGGGGAAAAAAAATGAAAGTGAATTGAAATTTATCGTTTTGTAAATGAGAATTGGACACTGAGGTGATTTAGGAAGCCTTAAATGAGTTTCTTTTAGTGAAACTAATATCCGTTAAGTTACAATTACTCACTTGGAAGGAGAGCAAGTCTAGTTTGAGTTAAAATTTGCCACCTCAGCTAAGGAAAACTATTAGTTGCCCAAAACTAATTAGTTTTTAGAACAAAAGAGAGCGCCGTGGAGAAGGGCTGAGAGAGTTAGGGTGAAACTTTGTTCCTGAGCACTAAAAGAGAAAGTGAGAGAAAAGAAAAGGGGAATAGGGCAAAATCCTAGGCGAATTGAAATTCATCCTCTTGGACTGGAGAATTGTACGCATAGGTGATTTAGAAAACATGAAATGAGTTCCCTAAGTTAAAGTAATATCGTTATGCCACAATTACACGGCAAAATCTGCTCCTTGAAAGCTAACCAAGTTTAGTTTGAGTTGAATTTGGCCACTTAAGCTGATTAAGCTAATAATTGTTAACAAAGCCGTCTTAGCTCAGCTGGTAGAGCGCATGGCTTTTAACCATGTGGGTACAATGGTCTTGAGCGCATTAAATCGTTGGTGAATAAAAAGGTTTCCAATTCTCAATCGGCTCCTTTGGCTAAACCTATTTCGGATGCTGAAATCAAGGCGGTTTTTTGGTCTCTCAAATCCAATAAAGCTCCTGGCCCTGATGGGTATTCAGCTGGTTTCTTCAAAAGCTCGTGGGATATTGTTGGGAAGGAGGTTACTCTTGCCATTAAGTCATTTTTTGACTCTGGTAAACTCCTCTCGGAGATCAATAGCACCATCATTGCTCTTATTCCCAAAATTCCTAATCCTATGAATGTTGGTGACTATAGGCCTATTTCTTGCTGCAACACCATCTATAAATGCATTGCCAAGATAATAGCCAATAGAGTCAAATTGGTGCTTCCTGATCTTATTGATCCTGTGCAATCTGCTTTTGTCCAGGGTAGAAGAATCTCGGACAACATCTTTCTGTCCCAAGAGATTATGAGGGGTTACCACCGGAGTTCCAAAACTCCGAAGTGTGCTATGAAAGTGGACATCATGAAAGCCTATGATACTGTGAGATGGGAGTTTATTATTGACATCCTCACAGCTATGGACTTTCCTCCTTGCATGATAAATTGGATCAATGCTTGTATGACTAGTCCTTCTTTCTCTATTTGCATCAATGGTAGTCTTCATGGGTACTTTAAAGGGGCTAGGGGCCTTAGGCAAGGTGACCCTATGTCCCCTTATCTTTTTGTGTTGGCTATGGAGGTTTTGGCTAGAATCTTTGCTGAAAAATCCAGAAACCCCCTATTTAAGTTCCATTGGAGATGTGAGAAGACTAAAATTGTAAATTTGTGTTTTGCTGATGACCTTATGATCTTCTGTAGAGGGGATCCGGGGACTGTCAATCTCATCATGCAAGGTTTGGAGGAATTTAGGAACTTGTCCGGTCTCAATCCTAATCCTAATAAGAGTAACATTTACTTCTCTGGTTGTAGTAATGAGCTTAGAGCTGACATCTTACAAATTGCCAAATTCACTGAGGGCTCCCTCCCTGTGAAATATTTGGGTGTGCCTCTGATCACCACTAAGCTCAAAGCGTCTGACTGCCAAATTTTGGTTGATAGGATGACTAAAAGGATTAAAAGTTGGACCAATAAATTGCTATCTTATGCTGGTAGAGCCCAACTCATCCAGTCTATTCTCTTCTCGATGCAAGTTTATTGGTCTTCTATTTTTATTCTCCCTAAGAGGGTTATCCGCGACATTGAAAATCTGCTCAGATCTTTCCTTTGGTCTGGGACGGATCTGAAAAAGCATAGTGCTAAAATTGCTTGGAAGCATATTTGCAAAAAAAAAAAAAATGAGGGGGGGCTTGGTTTTAAGGATATGGGGATTTGGAATAAAGCGGCTATAGCCAAAAACAAAACAAAATTCCCAACACAACCCGTAGGGATAGGAATAAGAATCAAAACAAAAGCTAACCTGTTAAAATATGTGCAACCCGAAACATGGTTGCTAGGAAATCTATTAAGAACACAAAGAAGCACAAAAGTACTCCTACACAGCCCGTAGGTATAAGCTAAATACGCTATAAAATTATGTAAATAATACAAAGAAAAACAATTGATTTTCTCCCTCATGTAGTACAGCAAGGCGCTAGCAGCAGCCATCACCATGGTACAATCACACCCTACAAACTGCCACCCGAATCTATGCAGAATGTATTCATCACCCCTCCACGCCATAAAGCAAAAATACCAGCAGCAACCTCATGTAACTGCACTGTAAGCAGCACCACACCTCCTCACCAACAAGTGAGCCTGTCGAAAATCATAAAGGAGAAGAAATAACAAACACACAGTATAGGAGTTCTCCTCACTCGACCCACAACACAGCATGTCTCTCCACTCCATATATGATCTCGCATCACTAGGCCCACAACTCACATGATACCTCGAAAGAATCAGAAAGACATTATACTTGAAAGCTCCAAGAACCTGCACAAACCATATATAAGATATAATAAAAATTAGCGCAAAACATGTGTGTTGTCTCTCATCACTCAACCCACAATGTCTAGAAATATTTTGGTTGCTCACAACACTCAACCCTCCATTCGGGCACATCAATCTGGGAGATGATTTAGGATTCATGATAACCTGCAAAAAAGCACCCAGTTAGTAAACCCCACAATAGTTGCTCACCATCACTCAACCCTCAATGTAGGTAACCTCACAACACTCATTCTCCTGCCATTTGTAATAGTATGGTGCTGCTGCATGATTTTGGGAGGAAGATTCCATTCCTCCAAAAGCCAATTATCACCTGTAGAAATTTTAACATTTTCCATAGAAAGAAGCCTACCCCTAACCATTTGGATAATAGAGTTAGTAACAACCTCTTCAGGCTTTTGGGCCTTATTGAAGATCCTACTATTCCTCTCCATCCAAATGTGGTAAACAGTGCAAAGAAATGATAGCTTCAGAATCACCATTTTCAAGGAGGTACCACTGGTGGATCTAACAGCAAAATCAACAGTTTCCAACCAAGGCAAAGAAGGCCAATTAGACTTACACTTGGCAAGGATACCACCCCAAATCCTAGAAGAAAATATGCACCTAAAAAAAATGTGGGAATGATTCTCCTCAGGATCTTGACAGAAAGGGCAGTAAGGAGTTGTAACAAGACCACAAGTTTTAAGTCTATCACCAGTATTAAGTCTCTCATTGGTGGCTAACCAAGCAATAAAACTAACCCTAGGGATTGAAAGGGGACCCCAGATAAGTTTGGACCAAGTGACTTTAGGGCCCTTATCCCTCCAACAATCCCAAGCTGACTGGATAGAAAAGTTACCATCAGCAGCCAAACTCCATACCAGAGTATCAGAAGAGCCAAAGGAAGGTAGAAGAGATAAAGGGGTAGAAGAGATCCACTCTTTTATCTCCCAAGAATTAGAAACAGGCCACTTCCAAGAACTATTAGAGACTATAGAGCTAACCTTGGTGCTATCAGGAAGATTAGTGTCATAAAGAATTCTAGGACCAAACCTGTGCCACAGCGAACCAAGCGGGTGCCAATTGTCATGCCAAATGAACACATTTTCCCCATTACCAATTTTGAATTTGATGTGAGGATAGATTAAATGCCTAAGAGACAGGATTTTCCTCCAGACCCATGAGGGATCACTAGGAGTTCTAACAGCCCAAAAGCTCCTCCCTTTAAGCAAGTAAGCCTTGACCCATTGGCACCACATGGAACAATCACCCCCAGAAAACAAGTACCAAACATGTTTGGCTATAGCAGCCTTGTTCCAGGTAGCTAAGTCTTTGAAACCAAGGCCACCCTCATTTTTTTCCTGCAGATATATCTCCAAGCAATCTTAGCACTATGTTTCTTCAACTCAACCCCAGACCAAAGAAAAGATCTAAGGATGCTCTCAATGTCACCAATGATTTTCTTAGGGAGGATAAAAAGAGAGGACCAATACACTTGCATTGAAAACAGGATAGACTGGATGAGTTGGGCTCTACCAGCATAAGAAAGCGGTTTATTGGTCCAACTTTTAATCCTCTTAGTAATTCTCTCAACCAGAGTATGACAATCAGACACTTTAAGCTTGGTAGTGATAAGAGGCACACCAAGGTATTTCACCGGGAGGGAGCCCTCAGTAAAATTGGCAATCTGAAGAATATCCTCTTTAAGCGCACTACTACACCCCGAGAAAAAAATGTTACTCTTACTAGAATTAGGGGTAAGACCAGACAGATTCCTAAATTCATCCAATCCCTGCATGATAAGAGTAACAGTACCAGGGTCCCCTTTACTGAAAATCATCAAATCATCAGCAAAACAAAGGTTGACAATTTTAGTTTTCTCACACCTCCAGTGGAATTTGAACAAAGGGCTCCTAGATTTCTCAGCTAAAATTCTGGCGAGAATTTTCATAGCCAACACAAAGAGATACGGGGACATAGGGTCCCTTGTCTTAATCCCATCGCCCCTTTAAAATACCCCTGAAGGCTCCCATTAATACAAATCGAGAAAGAAGGACTCGTGATGCAAGCCTTTATCCAGGTAATCATACAAGGAGGGAAAGCCATAGCTTTGAGGATATCAATGATAAAGTCCCATCTCACAGTATCAAAAGCTTTCATAATATCAACTTTCATGGCGCACTTAGGAGAGTGGGAACTCCTATGGTAACCTCTCATAATCTCTTGGGACAAGAAAATGTTGTCCGAGATCCTTCTACCTTGGACAAACGCAGACTGCACGGGATCAATCAAATCAGTAAGGGCCAATTTAATTCTATTAGCTATGATCTTGACAAAGCATTTGTAGATGGTATTACAACAAGAGATGGGTCTATAGTCACCACCATGAGTAGGATTAGGAACTTTAGGAATAAGAGCTATAATGGTACTGTTAACCTCCGAAAGAAGTTTACCAGAGTCAAAGAAAGACTTAATAGCTAGAATGACATCCTTACCAACAATATCCCAAGAGCTCTTAAAGAAACCAGCGGAATACCCATCCGGGCCAGGGGCTTTATTGGACTTTAAAGACCAAAAAACCTCCTTGATTTCAGTTTCAGAAACAGGCTTGGACATTGAAACAGATTGAGAGAGAGAGAGACTTTTTTTTCCACCAAAGATTGAATCCTCTCAAGGCCCTTGTACTGATCCACAGAAGGGGTACCAAATAAATTGGTATAGAAATTGATAAAAGAGGTGTGGACATCAGCACTATGAGTAGACCTAGAACCATCACCCATGACAACACTCAAAATTTTCCCTCTATTGATATTACTTTTCTTTTTTTGGGTAAGTAAGTCATAAAATAAAGACAGTAAAATGTACAAGTTTACAAGGGGCATACCCCAGGTACACCCAAACAACAAATAATATACGAACAATACACCACAAACTACCACTGGACAACCTACAACATAAAGCCACACTTGCAGAAGCGAAAGAACAACAGAAAACAAAACCCCACTTTGCCCATATATCCTTTTTGTCCCCAAGTAACCTATCATCAGAGATAATAGATGGAAACTTGGGATGGATATATGGGCAAATAAACAAAAACACCACAGATACTTAAAACATAACAGAAACACACACAATAGAGATGTAACTAACTAAACACCCAACAAGACCAATCGAAAAATGATAACTGCACGGACCTAAAGAAGAATTTACTATTTCTATCCCCAAGACCAAGCCACTGCACTCTGGATTTTTGAAGAGCAAGGCTCTCTTCTAATTTGCTAAGCTCAATGTACTTTTTCAGATCCTCTCTCTCTTGAGATTGCAAACCACTATTCATAGGGTCTTTGTCAAGTTTATATTGAATAAGATCCAGATTAGTTTTAGGAATTTGGACACGAGTAGATATGTCACTAAAGTCCTTCTTATTCAAAAGCTTGAGACTAGCTTTAAGCTTTCTGAGTTTTTGACAGACCCTGGACATAGGAACCCCTTGAATATACTGCCCCCAGGTGTTAGAAACAGTCCCCAAAAACTCTGGATGTTGAGACCAGAAATCAAAGTATTTGAAAGGTTTTTTGAAAGAGCACTTGGTGGCACTGATATTGACCACAGCAGGGGAGTGGTCAGAAATACCAGAGAGGAGAAACTGGGCAGTAGCCTCAGGAAATTTGTCCAGCCAAGCCTCATTAACCAGAACTCTATCAATTTTGGTAGCTATATAGGTCCCCTCACTCCTATTGTTAGCCCAGGTGAATTGGCAACCACCGTAAGACAAATCAGCCAACTCAGAAGCATTAACATAAGTATTAAATTCCTCATTATCATTCGTCCAATTAGAAGTCCCCCCAATTTTTTCCTGCTGGTATCTAATAGCATTAAAATCACCCAGAAAAACACAAGGAACTTTGGATTTAACACGGGAGATATCAAGCATAGATTCAAAAAAAACCTTTCTCAATGTGTGCTTATTTTCAGCATAAACAAAAGTTGCATAAAAGATTTCATTGGAAGCCAATTCAATAATTTTACACAAAATATGCTGATTAGACATAGAAATCATTTGAACATCACAAAAAACATTGTTCCAGCACACCCAGACTCTACCAGTTTCAGTTGGTTGTGAGTTAGAGAGCATAGACCATTGATCAAAACATTTACCACAGATACTACTCTCTTTAGACTGTTTTATTTTGGTTTCCAAAACCCCCATGACATGAATATTCTCTTTAAGCACAAACTTTTTAACTTCTTTATGTTTAGAGGGATCATTCAAACCTCTAACATTCCATGAAGCAATTTTTACATTCATAGGGACACAAAAAGGAGATAGAGACAAAACCCACAAAAAAAGGACAAAACCCACAACCAACTGAAACTGTGTTACCTCTTTTTCTTCCTCTGGCTGCTGCTGCCTTTGCCAGAGGGTCTGTTCTTCACCTGCTGGGATGGGGTAGCAGAACTATGGAGCACCTTTTCAGCCTTAATTTCTTTAATCGCAGTGTCCAGCATTTCAGCAGCATTGGGAACCACCAGCTTTGCAATCTCGAACACCTTCTTTGGAACCTATCCACATCACTGCTTTCAGAGCTTTGCTCCTCCCCGGAGGAGCTCTTGATCGCAGAAGTCTCCTGAGTGTCAAAGGATTGATCAGATGAGTCCACCTCAGTGGGAGCAATTTCAGGAGCTGAAGCTGGAACTGGGTCTACTGTAGAAGCTGGAACTGGGAGTTCCACCACTTCTGGGATAGTTTCCAACTCAGGTTCACCCACCTTCCTCTTCCCCTTAGCTATGACAGTGGTCCAGCCTTCGTCTTGAGCAATTTTCCTCAGATGTCTTCTGCATAGAGATCAGCACAGCCACCTGTTGAGACACACACTTTTGAGTGCTATGTCCAAATATTTGGCAATGTTGACACCTTGACGGCAGCCCCTGATATTCGACTCGGATTAGAACAGCATCATCATGCCTAATTTGGAAATAAGTGGGTAGTTTTGAGGTGGCCTCAATTTCCACACAGATTCTAGCAAAAGCCACCCTACTACCCCGAGCCGTAAGCTGGTCCATAAAGAGGGGATGTCCAATTGCACTTGCAATCCTACTCAAACCATCAGGATCCCAATATTCCAAAGGGATGTTAAAGAACTTCACCCATACTGGAATTTTTGTGGATTTATCTTTTGATAGCTTCATCATCCTTTTCCATTGTTTCAGAATAAGGAGATAGCCTCCTATGTACCATGGACCTCCTTCAAGAACTTCTCTACAACTATCAGGGGTATCAAAAATAAAGAACATGAACCCATCCCCATTAGTAAGAACCTCCTTGAGGCCCTGCGTTTTCCACATCCCAAAAGCACTGTTACGCAAATAATTGTAGCCCACTCCCTTATCAACAAAGTAACCCACAAGGCAGGAGTCCCATTTCTCTAGCGGGTCAGTCCTTGGGGGCATATTTACAACAACACTATTCAAAAGAAGTAGGAGGGATACACCTGAGTTTGATGTTTGAACGGGTTGATGCAGCAGTGATATTTGCCCATGAGCGATGTTCTTGGCCCTCAGGCTCGTTAGATCTCCTACCACCTGCATCCCCTCGACCTCCTCTTCCCCCACGATAACTTCCACCCCCCCTGACGCCTCCTCGTTGGAAGGATGGAGAATCCCTAATGGGTATCTGTATATCAGAATCAAAAGCCCTTACTGGAACTGAAGGTTTGACGATATTCTTGTGTTCCCCTCTATTACGCGCTAAAACTACACTATCTGGTAGATTTAGGAAACTATTGTACTCTTCCTCCACCATATCTGACCAACTCGTACTGATAGCATTCTCAGTCGGCGTCGATGGCTCGTCAATCGTAGCTGGAAACATCGGACCTTTCAGTTTCTTCGAGTTTGGCTCAAGACTCTTGCCCAAAACGTTGCTTGAATCTATTGGTGGATCTAAACCATCACCCTCTGCTACCGAAACAACCTCGAGTCCCAAACAATCTGCCTCATTAACAGCAACCTGCGATTGAATCTCCACACCAGAAGGATCCACGATCTAAATATCCACACCTCGGTTAACCTCCATAATGGAAGGATTAGCCATTGAGAGACCCTCGCCACTAGGGTTTGTAACATCTGCTTCAAAAGCCATCGATCTTTCAGTCAAAATCGCAAAACTATTTTTGGTGAACCCTAAGTCTCCACCTGATGACTTTACTTTCTCGACCTTAGCATTTACCCCCTCAATACGCTCATTAATGGTAGCATAAACACCAGACATCGGCAATCAATGAGATATTGAACCCTAGAAAAAAAAGTTTTCTAGAGAGATGTCAGAGCTTCTCTCACTAACCCATCGTCTTTCTCTTGGACCAATAAATTGCTATCTTATGCTGGTAGAGCCCAACTCATCCAGTCTATTCTTTTCTCGATGCAAGTTTATTGGTCTTCTATTTTTATTCTCCCTAAGAGGGTTATCCGCGACATTGAAAATCTACGCAGATCTTTCCTTTGGTCTGGGACGGAGCTGAAAAAGCATAGTGCTAAAATTGCTTGGAAGCATATTTGCAAAAAAAAAAATGAGGGTGGGCTTGGTTTTAAGGATATGGAGGTTTGGAATAAAGCGGCTATAGCCAAACATGTTTGGTATTTGTTTTCGGGTGGGGAATGTTCAATGTGGTGTCAATGGGTTAAGTCCTACTTACTTAAGGGTAAGAGTTTTTGGGGTATTAAGATGCCCAGTGATCCATCCTGGGTTTGGAGGAAACTTTTATCGCTTAGGGATTTAATCTTCTCTATTATCAAATTCAAACTTGGTAATGGTGAAAATGTGTTCCTCTGGCATGATAACTGGCACCCCTTTGGTTCGCTCTTGCTTCGGTATGGTCCTAGGATTTTGTATGATACCAACCTTCCTGACAATTCTAAGGTTAGTTCAATTATCTCAAATGATTCTTGGAACTGGCCTTTTCCTAACTCTTGGGAGATACAGGAATGGATTGCTGCCACTCCTCCTTCTCTTAAACCTTCCATTGATTCCCCTGATATTCCTGTGTGGAGTTTGACTACTGATGGTTCCTTTTCTATTTACTCTGCTTGGGATTGTTGGAGGGACAAGGGCCCTAAGGTTACTTGGTCTAATCTCATTTGGGGTCCTCCTGTTATCCCTAGGGTTAGTTTCATTGTGTGGCTGGCTATCCATGAGAGACTTAACACTGGGGATAGACTCCAAATCTTTGGTCTTCTTACGAGCCCTAGTTGCCCTTTATGTTGTGCTCCTGAGGAAAGCCATTCCCATCTGTTCTTTAGGTGTCACTACTCCTCTAGGATTTGGGCTGTTATCCAAGCTAAGTGTAATTCCCATTGGCCTTCTTTGCCCTGGTTGGAACTTGTTGAGTTTGCTACTAAATCCATCAATGGTAAATCTCTGAAATCTGTGATTATGAAACTCTCTTTTCTCTGCACTATCTACCACATTTGGATGGAGAGAAATAGTAGAATCTTTAGTAAGGTTTTCAAACCTGAAGAGGTTGTCACTAACTCTATCATCCAAATGGTTAGGGGTAGACTCCTTTCTATGGAAAATGTGAAAGCTTATGCAGGTGACAACTGGTATTTGGAACAATGGAACCTACCTTCTAAAATCCTGTTGCAGTCCCAAACTGCTGCAGCCGAAAGCAATTCGAGTGGTGTGAATCTCCCTACACTGAGGGTTGAGTGATGGTTAGCAGAAAAGGAGTGTTTTGTCTAACAAATTGTGCTGTCTTGCAGATGGTGTTTTTTTTCAGATTCTATCAGCTATTATGGATCCCAAATATTTACAAAATCTGGAGCCTATGAAGGGAGGGTTGAGTGATGTGAGCCAGTATAGTTCCTCTTGTAAATGTGGGTTGAGTGGGGGGAGGAAGTACATATATTTTAGACTAACATGTACTATATATTATATATATTTTTGTGCAGGTTTATGGATTTTCAAGTACATTGTTCAGCTGGCTGGAATGAGAGAGCACGGAATATGTGGGCCGAGTGATGGGAGATCTTACATTGAGTGGAGAGCTCTCTTTTATTGTGGGTCGAGTGAGGGGAGGTCCTATACTGAATGCTTGTTGTTTCTTCTTCTGTATGACTCAATATATTGTTATGGAAATTCCTCTCTATTATATGTTGAACAGGTTAAGCAGCAACTTGTAAGGTGGGATTGCTCCTGGCAGTTTCTCTCGGATGGTTATTGGATTTGGGCTTTGGCTGCAAGAAGTTTGCTGTTGGTGACTATCTCTGGGCATTGGCAGCAATCTGTGCCGGGGTTTGCCTGGTGGTGTGAAGGTGGCTACAATCAGCGCCCCTCTTTGGCGTTGTACGTTGTGTGGATTTGCTCTTCGGTGATGGCTGCAAGTTGCGCCTTGCCTAGGCATTTCAGTGGGTTCATAAGCTATCTTCATTTCTTTTATTTCTCTCTTGCTGTGGAGGACTGGTGGCTGATTGCTGTTCAGATTTGGGTGGCAGTTGGCAGGGTGTGTATGTACCATGGTGATGACTGCTTCAAGCGCCTTGCTATGCTACAAGTGGGAGCTTATCAGTGGTCTTTCTTTTAATTTTTATTTGTACACAGTTGTAGTTTGCAGTTTGCCTACTCCTATGGGTTGTGTAGGAGGTTTCATGTGTACTTTGGTGTCTCGTGTAACAGGTTTTTTGAGCAATTCGGTAAGATGGGCCCCTCATGGTTCATCACTTCGGTTTGCTTGGGTTACTATTTTTGTATTATATTTATTTTGTTACAGGTGCCTATCCCTACGGGTTGTGTAGGGAGGTTTTGTGGGTGTGATAGTGCCCATCCCTACGGGTTGTGTAGGGAGTTTTGGACTGTTGTAGTGGTGCTTGTTGGTTGCTGGTTTTGTCTTTTGTACAAGGTCCCTATTCATCATAGGATATGGCCTTTGTACAGATCGACTGGCTAAGTTTTCTTTTGGCTTTCCTAATTTTCGGATGTAGCTCCTAGGTTTGGTCTAGTGTTTTTGTTTGTGTTTCTTTGGGCTTCGGTGTCTGTGGGCTGAGGCTCGTGTTGTTTTTCTGTTGTTAGGGCCTGGGGCCCCTTGTATTTTTGTAAATCTTTCTGTTTTATATTATTTCTTATTCACCCAAAAAAAAATAAGCTAATAATTGCCTAAGCTAATTAGTTAGTGGATCAGAAGAGAGATGGACGGGGAAGGACAAATAGAGTAAGAGAGAAGCTTTCTTCAAGAGTGGTAGAAGAGAAAGTCGGAGAAAAGAATGGAGAATACGATAAAAATGAAAGCGAATTGAAACTCATCGTTTAGTAAA